GATGACTTTGTTCTAACACAAACATCAATGGTTTCCAAACAATTCCTTCTATCCAATTTCACTTACAAAGCTGGGCCAATCCATGTCGTGGTTTTCAGGCACTTTCCAAAGGTACCACATTCTGAAATCACCTCTCCAAACCAATAACTTCAAGAGCTTCCTGATAAAATGACCATGGTGAGATTTAAACCTGGCTCTCACAATCAGAGCACACCCATTTTAAGTAAGAACACTATCAAACTGTAGACACTGTTTTTCATTTCAAGAATTTTTTTAGATAAACAACATTTTCGTATTACTGTATGTGCCACATTTATATGCTACCAGCTGGATTTTATTCTAAAAAGAAAAAGTCTTGAAAGAGATTGGCTGATATTCTACCTAGAGAATCAATTAAGAGGTAAACATAGCACAATAACAAACAAAGAATTCCTTAAGAAAGTAAAGAAATTTGCCTCAGCTGCAAAAATTACTTGGACAAGACTAACACAGTAAACACAAAATATTAATGTATGTAGATTATTTTTTAGAATAGGAATGAAGTCTTCAAACTTAATTCACACTTGTATATAAAGAGATGCAAAGACACAAATAAAATTAAGTCTATTTATATGACAAGCAAGATACTTTTCACTTTTGTATTTTTGCATATCTTAATGTCTGCAGCAATATTCATGGAAATATTTTTTATTCTGCAATCTTTTTGTTTAGTTAATTTTTACAATTAATTATTTCTGTCAACCTGAAGCATTCCATATTTCTAAGTGATGAAAAAAAGATGATGACACAAAACATTGTTCAACTGGTGGACAGACCTTATGAAGCTACAAGGTTGGTTGGTTGGTTGTTTGGGGTTTTATAGCATATCAACCACTATGGGTCATTTAATGCCAAATCCAGTTTGCATATATATATTAAATATATATACTTTGTAAACATAATTTGAGGATAACGTCCTTAAACCACAGCTTGTTTATTCTTACTCAAGTAAATGGTTTCAAATGTCTATCTGGCACAAAAACGTATAACTGGCCACATTATTTTTTCAAAAACAAATAGCTAGCAATATTATTTTTTCCAAAACATTATCTGAGGCCTTGCTGTTGAACATAGTATATTGTCATACCCAGGACACTGAAGCTGCAAGGATTAACTCCAGTGATTATGACAGATGTGAAATACCCTCCCAAATTTTTCCCTCTGAAGACAACCTATGATATATATATATATATATATATATATATATATAGATTGTGATTCACTAAAAAATGATTTATGAGAAGATATCACTTTTTAGACAAGCAGATTTTGTAATTAAAGTACTCACTATAAAAAGACAGAGCATTAATAGCAACAAATAAAACTGAATGTTCACTTTCTTTCAATAAGACAGTATCTCCACAAAACTCATAGATGGGCAAGATAGGTAAACATTCAGTTTTAATTGTTTATATATATGTGTGTGTTGTATGAGAATCCAACAAAATAGTAAATATAAACTATTTTGATATGTTTTTATTGATGAAGTGACATCATTCTGATGTACAGTTGCACTTTTCAAAATTTTCTCTCTCCCCCATATATATATAAGACATGTTTATTGAATAATTTAGACAAGTTTTGTCTACTTATTTTCAATAGGGTCCCCTCATATTCATGGACAAGCTTCTTAGTATCCTTATTAAAGGAAGAGAGTAAATTACCATGTTGATACATATTCACTTATTCTGAGTACTTCAAAAGTACTCAGAATAAGTGAATATGTATCAACATGGTAATTAGCACAATGTCATCATTACAATCAAGTAATTGGTCTCATGCATCACTAAACATCACCAAACATCTGTACATCACTGTTCTTCAAGTCAATAAATACCAAATATTACCTTATAAGGAACTATCTAATATTACCATTATTTCTAAGTTCAGGTTGATGCTTTTCTTCTAAATCTGTTTCTTTCTGATCATATTTCTTTCTTCTTCAATTATTAATTGTTCTTTTTGAATTTGCTTTTCAGCATTCTAATCTTCTGAACAATCCAAGCCACCACACATCCTTTTCTCTTTTTGCAAATAGATACGTTTGCTGTCTCTTTACATTAAAACTGTCATACCTTGTCAGTTGCATTTTATTTTGTTAATCTTTCAGCGTCACACCTACACCTTGGGGAAATCTCTCCAATATCTCTTCAAACATCATTTCTATTACTATTCACTATATTCTGTTGTTACATTTAATCAAGTGGTCTAAATTGAATATCTATGTTGAATTAGAATAAAAATATAGCTTTCAATAATTCCTAAACTCACATGCCATATTGCAGAAGTTTATCTTCATGAACAATGCTTTAACCATTTTGGCTACTGAAATCTAATGATTAGGTAAATTTCAAGTCAGACTGCAAATCTTTTCTTCCAATTCTTCATGCTATAGTTTTTGCTTCGTGTTTAAAGTTGCAAAAATGTTTTGAGCTTTGAGATTAAATATTTTCATTGTTAATTAATTTTCATTATTAATTAAACTAGAAAAATATAATGAAAAACAACCATGAAGAAAACTAGACAACAATAATGAAAAATTTCACAGGATTCAAACTTTAGATTATTAACTGTACACTAAATAAAACTGCTTTAAACAAAAGATACAGAATTGTTTTCAAATAATGAATTCTTTAGAATGCCGCAAGACAGATATTTGAATAGCTATGCTCTTACAGTTTTAGAGAAAAAAAAAGTGAGAGCTATGAATTGGATATTTCAGAATCAAGCTGATGCAGAAATTTCACTAAGTAATGTAGTAACAAATGATGGAAAATATGGCATGGAAATCCAAAGTTTCATTAGAATAGCAAAAGAAATTTATCAAAGTATTAAGAGATAAGAAAATTTTGTTATAAACAAAAAAGAAAGTGCAAAACTGCAATGCCATATCTGTCTTCTTATGGAACAGTGGATATGGGACAATATGAAGGAACAGAGATGTTGTGCTACAGAAGTATGATGGGAATACCAGAGACTGGACATGTGAGGAACAACAAAGTTTTAAAGAAAATGGTAAGTAAAGGAACACACATTTAAATTCAGTGAGACACGGTTCAAAATTCTAGGACACATAGTGAAAAAAGTAGGCTTGGAAAATTTAATACTCACAGGACATATTAATGAGAGCAGAGGCAGAATGAAACTTCAAGTAACTTAGCAAATGTGTTTATACAAATGGATGATGGAGGGAATGGTACAGAGTCAAATGATGTTTAGATCTACAAGGAAACAATAAGTTGTGGAGAGATATGATTACCAACATCCTGAAGGGATATGGCATATCACAGAATATGATACGTTAAAAGCATTCTTTTTGTAGAGTGGCATAGGCCAGTATTTCAAAAGGACAAATCATAAACAAAGAACACATTGACTGAGTTGAGTAAAATAAAATAACACAAAATGAAGTGAAAATGACAAAAACTACAAAAAGAAATTAGAAAAATGTAATGAAAATAATTAAAATTACAAATTTATAAAATTAAATAAAAATTAAAGAAAGTAAAATTTTAAAAAGATTATCAAAAGAAAATGGAATGACAGAATTTAAAAAAATTAAAATTACAAAAAATTTTAAATGAAATAAAAATTACAAAAAGAGAAAATTGCAAAATTTACAAAATGAAATGAAAAATTATAAAAAAAACTATAAAATGAAAATAGAAATTATGAAAATAACATGAAATATGATCATTCTTTACCAAAATGCCAGAAAAAAAACACTGACTGAACTGAAAGTCAATGAGGATAATAGTGAAAAAGACAGTATACAGGTTCAATAAAATTATAGTCAGAAACTTTTAAAATGTTACAGGTGCAAAAGTTATGATTCCACTCTTGGGAAATCTTGTTCAGTTTCCCCATTGATGTGCAATGTCTGGCTTTATGATGCCAGTAGTGCCTTATATATTGTCACTCCAACCATTTATTTGAGCATTGCAAGGGAATCACAAATGTTGATTAGTAATTCTCAAAAGATATATAAGTACATTAATTTCATCCAATCTTGGGTCACAGACATCAGGCTTAGATACACTAAAATAGATACTAGTAGACTGCAACAAGTTATCATAGCAAACAAATATAACTGAACTATTCCAATTTCCAGATAACCTCTGTATGTGTGACAAGGAAGATGTTGGATGATCAATCATGTTAGTTTCAATGAAGTTCTTATTGAAAGTATTAAAATCTTCTTGGAACAATATCTGGTAAAATATTTTTATGGGTTCATCAGATTTCTCTGTATTTCAAGGAAGAACTCTCTATAGTTTTGGGAAAAGTCATTATGATTCGCATATAGTCTAGTATATGAGAAGAATTACTTTTCTCAAGAGAATCCAACCAAAGTGACCAATTGGACAGACTTGCATTCACACACAAGAATGACAGCAACTTACTATTTATATAATTTCTGTTCCAATGAATATTACAAGTCAATAAATATGAAAAGTATATGTATGTATGTATGTATGTATATATATATATATATATATATATATATATATATATATATATAAATAAATAGTATGTGATTATTAAGAGAGACAGAGGAAAGCAATGCATAACTTACCTGGTGTGTTTGATTGAATTGGTGGTGGAACAGGGCTTGAGAGAAATGACGAATAGACAAAAGTTATTAAGAGCTACAAAAGGCAGAAAACCGGGGAGAGCCAAGAACACCAATCTCCTGAAGGTATGTTGTTGTTTTGTTTAGTGGCATATCAACACCTCTATGGGTTATTTAATGCCAAAATCTAAATATTTTCTATGCAGTTTTATTTTATTTCTGAAGATTATCATGGTTGTAGCAATACAATTCTTACTAATTAACCCATAGCTGGTGGGAGAATTGAATTCATACATTTCCCATGAGTATTTACACATAAGTGTATATAATGAACCCAATGGGAATTCAAACTTGGCTCTCTGATTGACAATTCAGAGCTATTATCCATTACACCACCTGGTATTCCCAAGCTGTTACCCACATAGGTACTGACCAGGCTTCAATGATGCTTAACTTTGGTGATTGTATGGGAAAAGGTGTTTCAATGTAATGTGGCTATAAGCCACATCCTGAAGGACATACCACATGGGAGAAGAACACACTGACATTATAACTCAAAGAGATTTCTAGACAACTGAACACAATCTTTGTGTAGCTTTTGTTTGTACTACAATACTTCAACCAATGCATTCTACAGCCTTCTTCAGATATGCAGTAAATAACATAACAGAAGTCTCTTCTCTACAGAAACTGGTTGTGTTACAGAAATGGTGCTTAATTTACAAACCTTTGCTTCCTTTTTTTCATTCTTCATGTCTTTCTGTGAGAAGACTGGCTCATCTATTTCACAAAAGACTATGTTATGATAATTGTCATGTTGAGTCATGAAATCCCACAGACTGCTGAAAATAGTTGCTTGGTTGTTTTGTTTTATAGCATATCAAACTCAGAGGGTCATTTCATGCCAATAAAATTTTGAAATAGATTCATAGCGATATTTTGGTAAAAAAGGTGTGTTTGTATTTTTTTTTTTTTTAAATATATTGCTGGTAATATTTTATTTTTCAAATAATGTATTGTTGGTAATATTTTTTTTTTTCGAAAAATGTATTGTTGGTAATTTTTTTTTTTTCAAAAAATGTATTGATGGTAATTTTTTTTTTTTCAAAAATGTATTCTTGGTATTTTTTTTTTTGAAAAATGTATTGTTGGTATTTTTTTTCGAAAAATGTATTGTTGGTATTTTTTTTTTTACAAAGTATTTCTGGTATTAAAACCTATTTTTACACTTTCATTGTGTTTTAACCCAAGATTGGGGGTTAACTATTTACCCACAGCTGGGACCCTAACAGGTGCTACCACACCGAGTCAGAATGGACTTGGGAACACTAGCAATTAAGAGGTGGTTCCATGCTCCTAAAAAAATCTCCTGGATGTAATTTATTGTCATACCCAGGACGGGCTAAAAATAGTAATGTCCGTATGACTAACACAACTGTATCCACTAAGGAAATAGGAGGGTAAGGCTTGCTTTTGCTGTTCTATGAGTCATTCCCTAATTGAGCATGACTCTCAGCACAGCAAAAGCAAGCCTTACTCTTCTATATTCAGCACATTTAGTTAAATATAAAGAATCCATCATCAAATGTTCCAAGAAACAGGACTTTACAAAAACAGAAACTACGATCCAGAATTGGAATGAAAGCAGTGGTGGCATCTATCCTGAATCCATCATAAAAATTCAAGATGTCAAATTAGTAAATACTAAATGCTTCAGATATCTTGATGGATGGATCATTTGTAACAAATTTAGCATTAGATAAAATGAAATTGAACATAGGGAAACTACCTCCAGGTGCAGCCTATTCTAATGTCACAAATCACTACAAAACCAAAACATCAATCTGAAAACTCTAGTCATGTTCTTAAATAGCCTTTTCACATCAAAACTTTCATATAAATGTCATGCATGATGATAAACGTGTTCAAAAATATCTATACTGTCAGCTGTATACACCTACTTTCTAAGATCAATGATTAAAAAAAGGTTTTGAGCAATTGAAGCCTGAAGATTTTGGCAGAGTTCATCCTTTTTTGAACATTGTGGACTGATGCTACAAAATCACAAGCAAAGAACTGTACGAAATAATGTAAACCACATCACTTGAGGACTACCAACAGCAGCAACAACTAAAATGGATAGCATGTAATTTAAAGAGAAAATAATGTCATAATCAAGATGTTGACATTCCACACCACTTCAAATAAAAGGTTAAGAAGGAAGCCCCCATCAATACTGGAAAGAGTGATAACAGTTACTGGACTTGAGAAACCTATTTTTCTGAAAACTTGTTTTAAGAGAAAGATTTTATGAATTTCAGCTAAAAGCAGTACGGGCTGTTTGGTCAATGAATGCCAAATGTTTCCTTGGAGGGAAATGGCTAATACGACCATTAGTTTTCTTGTTATATAACTTGCAATCAGCTCTGACAGATGAACAGTGATTTCTTTTGGATATTACTATGTAAATTGCTGCCCCTTCACATATAAGTAAAGTGAAAGCAAATGGAGTTGATTTTACAACTCCTTGAATTTCTCAAAGGCAATATTAGGTCTAGCTTGAGTAACTATTCAGTTAAGTCGACCTATCAAATTTCAGTAACCAACTTGAATAGACTTAGAAAGATTCTTGTCCAGTATGTCAGTGATTGGTCGAGGTAGAACAAAAACTTGCATAACATTATCTATATATAAAAAGAGATGTCGCATGAGCCATCATTTTTCACTGACAAGTAATATATGCATAAGACACAGTCACTATTTTTGATGTCACCATTTTCTTCACAGAATATCCACACCATTTTCCTTTTACAAATTAGTAACAAATTTCAGATGATTCAAGCCCTGTCACTTAAAGATGAATAAATCACTAATATCTGTCTGTCTTCTGGCAATATTTTACTTCTGAATTTAATACTTTCTTTTCATTTAGTAATCTGAGAAGCCACTTATATAAATGGCTAGAAATAGTTACCTTTGATTGCTCCATAATACTTAGTTTTGTGACCAATGAGTGTTAAATTTAATACAGAGACAAGGAAAGATTCCAAACTGTCAGCCCACATGGCTACTTAGTGACTTTCACAGGAACCACTGCCACCTGGTGGCCTTCACCAACATTGCACATATCAACAGTAGTCTTTGTCTGCTCAGCTGTAATAATCTTAATCCAGTACTTCATATCGAAATTAAATAAATTAAAAAAGTAAATTAATCAAAAACTGCTGATTCTTAAATTGAAGCAGTCCTTCAATTTGATATATCATTGTGATATACATAATGGAATGTCAAAAATCTAAAAGACAAAAGAAATTAATATTCCTTGAAATTACTTTCAATATATTTAAATATAAAGGCAGGTGTTTTAGACTCTGCCAATAAAAATCAAATATCCATGAGAAAAAAAAATGACTGAATTGAAAATATCTTTTTACATTATTCTATTAGCTTGAATCATAAACAATTTCTATATGAATAGTAGTTAGAATGATACATTTGCCATTACAACTGATTCCTAAGAATGTTTTGATTGATTCATTTTCTATGGCTTATCAACACTTGGCTGGTTATTTAAAGCCAGAAAATATTTTTAAATTCTAAGAATTTTTGGGGGGGATAATAATGATTTTAGTGATACAAGTCTTAATAATTAACCCATAGCTGGGGTGAGAAGAGGCGGATTCATACATTTCCCAAGGGTATTTGCACATAAATGAACATAACAAACCCAATTGAAATTGGAACTCGGCTCTACAATGTCCACTTTTAACATGTTACCCATTACACCACCCACACATTCAAGCTTACAGCACCTGGTATTTTCAACTAGTCATCCATCTAGGTATTGACCTGGGTCGATGTTTCAGTGTGATGTGACTGTAAGCCTTCCAAAAAATGGAAATTACTTGTGACTCAAACTAATACAGTGTATTTTTAATATTGTCTTTTCTTTCAAACGTTCATGTTTAAAATTGTTTTCACCCATCAATGCTAACTGAAAAAAATGGTATAAATCATAAAAATCTGGCATTAATTATAGTTTTCTAAAAAAAGAAAAAAAAAACAGTATTACTTATAGGTTTTATTTTTTTTGAAAATCTGGTATTAATTATATTTTTCTACATATAATCTATTAATGTCCACCATTCCAAAGACAGAAGACATGGATTCATGCATTTCCCAAGGGTATTTGCATGTAAGTGAATAGAATGAACATATCTGGAATTGGAACTTGGCTTTCCAATCTTAAATTCTGTGTTGTCATCCATTACAGCATCTGCATATCAAAGCATACACTACCTGATATTCTCCAGTGATCACCCATCTAGGTATTCACTATTTTCCTACATATAATCTATTAATGCCCACCATTCCAAAAATGGATGCTGGACAGGAATGAGTTAATGTATAAAAAGTGTAATCATTGTATTTCTTTAATGGAATTTTTAGAGGAAACTTTTTGCTTCCAATAGAAAAGATAAAGTCAGTTATCAAACAAGCAAATCCAAAGCAATTTTTCTATTCTTCTAAGACCTTTTGTACTTTCATGTATGAAGAAAGAGCAAACACCTTTTAAACAATAAATCTGTTTCTATTAAAAAATTTTCCAAAGAATATGTTAACAAGCAATTGCTAAAAATTGTTGCAGTTTAATGTCTATTCTCTGATAAGGCAATGCCAAATGTTTTAATGCAGAAAACAGCGACTTACTTCGTCAAACCAAGTGACAGTGCATTGCATGAGTCATATGACGGAAAATGGGGCAAAAAAGAAAATTACTTACCAAAAAAAAAAAGGGGCACGTATTCCGCATGACATGCTGAAGACGGAGTATTTAAATTAAAAACAAGTCTGTCACAGGAGTCACTATCAAAGTATTTTGATATGCAAAAATTGGGCATCCTTTCCTAGTTGTCGACGAATGAAAAATATGTTCGGCCGATAAAAGCAGTTGGTGTTATTGAATTTGGGAAGCAAAATCATGTATTTTGGCTACCACATTTGTCGGATAGTAAGTTATTTTTCTGATTGTGTATGTGCATTGTGATTTGTGAGATAGTACCTGCGAATCAAGTTTTCGGCATTTCTTTGTCACCAATATTCGAGTCTGAACTTACAGTGATTTGTTCTCTGCATTGTGGAAGTAATCTGTGACAAATATTTCCTTTGCTTTCAGAACGCTTACTGTTTTAATGCACATTTGACATTATTTTTCTTGTGGATACATCAGAGATATGTAAACAGAAACAGTCAGTAAACTACAAATCAATCAAGGAGCAAAGTACCATATGAAGTGTTATTTAAGAAAATGCATTGCCAAGAGTAGCAAAAGACAGAAAGCTGTGGAGAACTATAAACATAAAGGGACACAGTGTATACAACATCTAATAAATCTTCCAATTTAGAGCAGTCTTTAAATTTTGCAATATCTTAACTGTAGCAAAAGTTTTTTTTCTCCTTCACTACATCTCGCAGATTGGAGCCATTTCTGAAATAAATGAGGCTGGCAATTGGTTGCAAGTCTCAGAAATGCATAAAACTTTTATTGTCATAAGTCTGCTTTCATATTTATTTTCCAAGGCATAATTAAATATGAAAAATGGAATCAGCAGGTGAATTCAAATTCCAGCTGAGGCTATTGTATTCACTTTACACTACTGGGAAAAGTAGTAAATAACTTTTTCTCTTCCCAGATAGAAAAAAAGTAATAAGGTAGACAAGGCACTCAAGTATTGGTTGGCAATGTGTTGAGGAGGACGACAGCTCTGAACCCAAAACCATGAACAAATTAATAGGAAGTCAATATCCTTCCCAAGAATAAATATGGCAATTTAGAGATATTGAAGAATGAAAAGCTGTGGAGAGACATGATCACCTATATCCTGAAGGGATATAGTATTAAAAATATTCTTCAAAAATTAGATCAAAACCTTACATTTATCTTACCTTGTTCAATTCCAATTTCTGAGGGTCATCAGTAATCAAATCAATCTTGCTGACATCAGAAGGCAAAACACTGGATATGGCTTCAGGCCTGTTAGAAAGAATATTTTGTTTAGAAGATTTTAGAGCTATAAAAAGAATTCATATTTGAAGGATTATTTACTTGAGAAAGTAAATGGTAATCATTTTATAACTGGAAAATAAATCCAGAAATAATTATATAATTTATAAACAGCAGTAATATCATCAGATCTTTTCAATGAATAAAACCAATAGATTTGATATCTAATGGCAGCTACCAGATTTACTCAGCATAAGTAGAAACTATAACTAATTTGTTGAGGGGTAATCGAATAACTCTTGTGAACTAATTTCCTACAGTTAATCAGTAAAATAGAATTATTTTCAGACACAAGTCTTTACACTGAAAAACAAAATATACATAACTCTAAAGTTTATTTCTTTAGTTGTCTTATAGTTTATGGTTAATTCTGTCAGCTTTTAAATTTCAGTTGTTTAATATTAGGAGTCCAGTTCAAATTGTTATAAAATCTGAATATGTGATGTTATTGCAATTAAATTATACATCTCAAAAACTATTGAAAATAAAGTATCTCAAGTCAATTCTTTATAAAAGTAAATCAGTTTCTCTTTCAAATGGTACCAAATGCAGCTTCCTTGGTACTCAGGCATTTGGCCGACAGACATTTAACCAAATAGGCATTTAGCCGAAAATGTAGTGGTGTACTTGCATATAAGTCACACTCTTTATTGTAATGTGCTACATATATTTATATTTATTTACTGTATTAATTTATAATTTTTCATTTTTTTTTTTTGACAGGCTTTTTTTTAATCTATTGTGTATATATCATATTTTACTTAAAATATTACTGTAAGATGATAAGTATTTTGAGAAAAAGCACATTTTACTACAGCAAAAATCTTAAGCTTTTAGGATAGGAAAGATCTTTCAATTTCACTTTTAATGATCATTATCTTAAAGGGATGAAATAGCTTTTATCATACTGTTAAATATGAATTTAAAGAATTAGGTGTTACTTTTTTAAAATACTAATTTCAATAAACAATTATTGAAATAAGAAAACTTAACTTTAAATTTAGATTTAGTAATTTAATCACTTGAAATTCAGTGGTAATTATTAGTCCCATTCTACCTTATAATACTGCTAGTTAAAATACCTAAGGTATTGCTTGTTACTATTTTTACTTGTACTTTTTCAGTGAAATGTCTGTTGGACAAATGTCCGGCCACAAGCCTCCTTGGTTTTACTGTTTATGAGATATGAGTTTGTTTTTTAAAATTTACAACTTTGTAAAAGTTGCAGATTCCTGGGGAGGCCTCAAGTTCCTGAACTATAAATGTGTGAAACTTGTTGATGCATTTGGGCACTTCTGGCCTTCGGTCAGTTAAGTGCCATACGTGATACATGCTTGGGTGATCATGTCTCTTTCAAATCATGACTAACTAGGTAGAATATTTTCCTGTAGTATGTTGCCATATTTTTTCTGCAGTCGCCGGTCAAGGGCCAAGGCTATAGAACCCAGTTTGTCTTGTTATTTACCCATTGCTGAGGAGAGAAAAGTTGGATTCATACCTTTCCCAAAGGTATTCACACATAAGTGTATGGAATGAATTAAACTGGAAAATGAAATTGGCTCTCTAATTCCTCAATCTAAGCTACGATCCATTACTCTACCATGCCTTTTTGCAGTAAAGGGTTAAATCAAGCCGAAAGTATCAGGTTCTTATTTGATTGCTGAAGTTAAGCAGCATTGAATCTGGTCACTTCTTATATGAAGAACCATTTGAGAACCTTGGGTTCTATAAGCAATGGGGGAGGAAATCTGGATAAAAAATCCCACGTTTTGATAGTGAGGAGGTAGTGAAAGATGACAGTACATATCATGGCAGATTGTTGTTTTGGATCACATCTTACATTTGCTTTGCAGAGAAATGTCATTGCCAATGGTAAGGAGATAACATCTATCTTTGTGCAAAGTTCACTTATATTGCAATTGAACAATATTTTGATTACTGAATGTAACCATTAAACACATTGTTCACTTGAGGAACTGTTGTAGTATAGCAACAAATGATAATGAGTATGCCTCCATTCCCATAAATACAACAGTGAATACTGTATGTGGTCTAGAGTTGGAGATTCATTGTGGAATTCACTTGACTCACTTCTAGCAGTTGACGATGACTTCTACATGCTACTGGTGAATCTTATATGTGTTGTTCTTCTCCTAAGTATTATCATTCATTACCAACCTTCATTTAATTATTCTATTCAGTAACCTTCCCTAGGTTAAAACAGGAATGTTTAATGAGGAGAAACAAGTCACAATATTTTTTAGTCACCTAAATAATATCCAATGTATAGTACTGAATCTCTTTTATAAAATACTAAGTAATACTTAGGTAAACTATAAGAACAATAAAAATATATTGAACCAAGAGTTAACAAAAACTCCTTAAGTTTGACTGATGACCAATTTAGAAAAAAAAAACATACTGAAAAGCATATGTTAAAGTTCACATATGCAAGCCTGGGCTGATAATATTTCCTACTTGATTATCAAATCCAGTCACATCTCACTTAATGATTTACCCATTTAATAACTTTCAGACTTGCAATCAGCTATAAATCTCAAATAAAATGTAAAAATCCAAGCCATTGGTATTGTATGTTGTACAAAAACTTTGATTGGGATTGTGTAAGCATTCTGGGATTGCAAAGGAAATATTTGTCACAGATTACTTCCACAATGCAGAGAACAAATCACTGTAAGTTCAGACTTAAATATTGGGGGGCAGAAAGAAATGCCCAAATCTCGATTCGCAGGTTCTATGTCACAAATCACAATGCACATGACCAGTCAGAAAAATAACTCACTCTCCAATAAATGCAGTAGCCAAAATACACAAATTTTATTTCTCACTCTCGATTTGAGAGCACCAAGCTGAGCATTTATCCCATTCATTGACAACTGGGAGAGGATGCCCAATTTTAGCATGTCAGAATACTTTTATAGTGACTCCTGTGACTGACTTGTTTCTAATTTAAATATTCCTTCTTCAGCATGTCATACAGAATACGTGCCCTTTTTGGGGGGGGGGAAGTAATTTTCTTTTTCGCCACATTTTCTGTCGTAGGATACATGCAACATGCTGTCACTTGGTTTGATGAGGTAATTCATCAGTTTCTTCATTATAGATTGTTTTTTCTTTCTTCAAAATAAATCAAATAAAATGAATAAATACAACCATTCTGTTTTTGTTCTATTCTGCATATACCACCTTTCCTGAGACCATAAGATAATGTCTTGCATAGAAAAGTATCCTAGAGAATACACTGACAAAAGAGCCAGAAAAGTAGTCTGCCCTTGCCACATGGACCTCTAGGCAAATATAAATGGCAGTCATTTAGGATGATGGTGTCTTGTCTCACTCAGACATTGTACATGGCATCACAAGCAAGATATCAAACAAAATTTTAACTGTGAGAAATTCCAACAATACATATTTGCAAAGCAACACTTTACAAGGATTATTAACAAAACACATCATTGGTGTAACCATAAGAAGAAATATGACCACTTCACTGGTTATGGGTCAACAATATGTGCAACAAATTGTCTAGCCTTAAAAAGAGAATATAGAACTTCAGAAAGAAGGGTTTCATGTCAGGCCTGGCATGTCCAACATGAGGAAACTACAATGACCCACAATAGAGCTAGATGCAACAGACAGCAACTGGGCACTGTTTATGAACTTCTGCACCTGGTACAAGGAAATCTGCTGACTGACCAACCAAACAGAGATTCACAATGAGCTAAGGATGACATGTTCCCTTGAGTTGAACAGGTTGCTATATGACCTGGTGGAGGCCAAAATACTCAACACTACCACTGAGGAACAACTTCTACGTCAAATACGGCTCATCACAGTTAGGGGACTACACAAAGAGGTGCACACACATTATGAAGCAACAAGAGGGTGAGTTGATTACACATTTCTTAGGCTAACTATAAGCCCAAGCAAAAATTTTCTGAATTTGTAGTTCCCTGCCCAAATGAAAACGGTTACAGCCAGGAAGTAAATTATTCCCATGACATGGTTCCTGGGCAAATAGTGAAGGTCTGGCTAATTTTGAACACCAAAGAAGAATATTGGTGGAGACCACTACACTCACCACTTTGGAGCAGAGGTTCAAAAGGCTGACCACCCTGGAAACCACTGACAAATCAGCCCCTCATTTACATAACAATATGGCCCCTATTATATCATCTAATGGGCAAAGGTTGGACAGAGAGCAACGGTTCCAAGGAATCTAGATCCCACATTATACTAAGATGTGGAAAGATCTCACATCCCAGTAGGTCAATGGATAGAAAGGGATGTCTGGCAGCCAAATTAAGGTAATTAAATTGCAGATTGCTGGGGCATGTGATAAGGGTTTGCATGAAAAATGAAAAGGTGTCCACCAACAAATCAATCAGAAGTGTGACAAAACATGATTCATTCATGTTTACCACCAGGGGAATTGGACATGTCAGCTCAACTAAGTACAGATGTTTAAATATCTGGGAAACGTTTTAACAGAGGATGGAAAATACAACACTTAAATCTGAACATGCATTGTACTAGCAAAAGAGGTAAGCAAAGTGCTGAGAAACAGAAAAGAATGCAGAAATGCAATGTGATATCCATCTACTTATATGACAGTAAAAATGCTGAGCAATCACATCATAGATGGGAAGAAAACTGGAGGCAACAGAAATGTGGTTTGACAGAATGATACTGAGAATCCCATAGATAGAACGTGTAAGCAATTTGGAAGACTTAAAGAAAATAGTAACAAAAAGAAAACTTATGCTTAGAATCAGTAAGAGATAGCTGAAATTTATTCAATACATTTTGGAATTGGAAAACTTAACTCCCACAGGGCATATTGAGAAAAAGAGAGATAGGAAAATGCAGCCAATGAGATTGTGCAAATGGATGAAACAGTGGACAGAAACCTTAGCAAAGGGAAAGTTTCTTTTTTCCCCCCATTAAGT